TAAACATCTGCAGCCCTCACTTCTAGAAACCAACCGAGCCGTGCAACAACACTCCAGCGGGAAAGCCCCGGGCTCCGATGCGATTTCGGCTAAAATCTAAAGGCCCGGCGACCAGAAGAGGTTCCTCAAGACTTCAAGGACGCAGCAGCGGTTCACCTCTGCAAGCGAAAATGGGACCGGCAACTGTGCTAATCACAGAGGAATCTTGCTGTCCAACATCGCTAGGATGATCTTCGTTCGCCTTCTTGTCGCTCGTCTGAGCGGTCATCCCGAGCAAGGACTACTGCCAGAAAGCCAATGTGGCCGCTGACGGTACCGGGGAAACAATCTACATGGGGTTTGCCGCTCTCCGGCTACAGAAGTGCTAAATGCGAACCCGCACCAACACTACCTTTGTGGGCTTGACGAAAGGCTTCGACGCAGTGGAAAATCATGAAGGAATTTCTCTGTTCTGTGCGATTCGCGCACATGGTACGTCAGCTTCACGATGGGATGGGAACGCGAGTCATAAACAATGGGGCAATCTCCTTTGTTTTTGGTAATAATCCTGGTCAAGCGTTTGTTGGCGACCAGGGGGTGCGGTGATACGCGTAAGTGCAGGTCCGACCGCGCCAGTCGCCGGCGCACTATCCCGCGACCGATGTTCTCGATTATGTCTTGACATCAGATCCGGGTGGCGGGAGAGAGCGGGCATTAAATGCTGGGAAAGTCTACTATTACTATAAAAGGAAGTACGCACAAGTCACCGCGCCTGCTCTCACCCTGCTGTCGAGCACACGGTCGACATCATCCGTCACGACACCCGAACCGTCATACTTATACCCAAGCCGAGACAGTCAATGTTGGAAATGTCTGCATTGGTGGGAAATTAACAGCCGAAACGATTGACCGAGTGCGGTTTTTGCCCGCACACTTACTACAGCCTCTCTTAGGGTACTGAGCTAACCTACTTAGAAAGGGCCACGAAATTGAGCATCGAACAACCGAAAAACTCGACCTTTTCACCCTCTCTGGCACCTAAAAGAAGGCTGAAGGACGACAGTGAGCAACTCGTCAGTGGACAAGTGTTCAGCGGCACCGTCCCGCAGCCGGGAAAAATACTGGCTCTGAGCTTCAAATTCTGACGTGAATTCTACGAAGTCAGACATTCTGTGCACACCTTCCTTGATGTCGCACTTGGCGCCCTTTGCCTGCACGTCTATATCAGTAGTGGAATCAGAAGTCCACAGTCCTTGTTGAGCTCATGGGACATGTAGTGTTTAGACACTCAGTCCACCTGAATCGTTTTCATTGAGAACCACGAAGGGTTCGGATGACGCTTGAAAGGACCCCAGGGAACATGTTCACGTTTACAGTCTTTCAGTGCCGTCCCTTTGAAGCATTGATAGGAGACAAGACAAAAGAAGCACAACAAGAGGTTAAAATTACTTGTTTTTTCTTCATAAAAAATAGAAGGACAGAGAAGAGTCTTGAACGTAGCACAAACCAGCATCAATAGAAATGCAAGTCAAAAGAGCGTAAGGACGAAGTGACCATTGCAATGCCGAGGAAGTTGGTCATTCTTCAGAGGATTCTAGAAGGTCGGTTGGAAGGAAAAAATCGCGGTGAAAGAGGTAATTTTACGCTTCCTGGTACAAACATGCTAATATCACAGTGCCACAAACTTCCCTATTCAATGATTTTGGCAGACTGCGATAGTTACACTGTATACCAAATTGTGAAGAACTCGGAGGGAATTCGAACCCAGAACAGTTACGGAATGGCTCAAGTATATCTTGTGCTCCGAATGTCCCGATTTACAATTGCTAAATTTCATGCGATAAAGTAGGCTGGCTGTGAGCAAAGTAGCCCAAACGTGAAAAGGCTCTCCGTCGTGGCCTCGTAACTCAGGTGGTTAGGGCGTTGCCGGAAATCACGCCCTGCAGTCACTGTCGTTGGATCTAATTCCGTCGAAATCGTCCCGTTGTTAAACAAATGGGCCAGTTAAAGCAATGATAGCAAGTAGCTACGCCTCCCATTCGATAGTGAACCCTGCAGCAGCCTACACTAAGGGGTCACAAAAGGAGGAATTATTGCTCGTGATTAAACTTAATTCTGACTCCAACAAAGTTGCCATTAAACGGCGCGATGACTTCCATGAGACAGTGGCAGGGGTAAAGTCACAGCCAACCATCCATTAACCTACTGCATAATTTTGGGTCCCTCGTTTTTCCTAGAAGTGCTGACTGCTGTTCACCAGTAAAATCATATTGTCCGCGGACAACATTCTCTACAACACACTCGCTACTGAAGTCGTTTCTTTAGCTTGTTTATTGCAGATTGCGTGAAGGAACGGTGTTTCAAAGGCGCCACTCAAAGCAACATCGCCACCACGACTAAAATTCGCGTGTACCGTTCACCCGTCCGGTCTGTCCCTTTCTATGGTTGTCAATGCTAGACTGTCCGCGTGGAGGACGAGTGACGACGGGAGGTATTTGACCAACACGGATTGAGGACTATCCTTCGAGGAAAGTACACCGATTTCGTATCAAACAGAACAGTCCGCACTGGCTGGGACAACTTCGCACGGATAACCAAGACCATCCAAGAAAGACGACTGAGGTGACTTAAGCACGCTCTTCGTTGTCCATCTCAGGAGTTCACTATTATTGCCCTAGATCCGGCACCGTTATCCCGCTGGAGGCGTCGGAGAGGGGGTCAACACAAATCCTGGCTCGACACAGTTCGACAAGACATGGAAGTGGTTTCTGGACCTTCGATATTTAGTCTCCGTTCTTGGCAAAGAGAAGAAGTCGAACTGTCCAGATCTGCTGCCGTGGACTGTTCCGCGTAGAGACGTACAGTTAGGGACTTCATTGAGGCCGACTATATCAGGCATGATCACGGCCGTACAAAGTACAAGTAGTATACGAGGACTGAATATCTGGTTTAGGTTCGGTTGAGGGTCACATACCTAAAGATGAAAGTTCTTTTCTCGGATAGGCAACAGAGCATATGCACTGTCATTAAACGAAAAGATAACTGGGAATTAAAAGTAAAAAGCGTTCAGGGATAATTCCTCTGTACCTGTTTGATGCTTACGTTCCCATCTTTTTCATATACTTCCCCAGCTTGTAACGAATAGGGAGCTTAAGGACTAAACACCCACACAACACTTAAATAAGACTGAACTGAATGCACCATCAAGGACATGGACAACAAGCGCATATCATTTTGAAGTAAAAACTGACAAACGCTACAAGCCGCCGCCAACGAACCTAAACGATGAGACAGTCAACGCACTACTACTCTGAATTTAAAGATGAGCAGCTTGAAAAAGTTTTAAAAACTGGCACAGAATGGAAACGACAGACTACCGAGAGGGGGAAGGAGCGTACTTTTGTGAAGTGCGTCGATATGTCTCTTGAGATTTCCCTTCAACATAAATGCCTTGCCACAGGCTTCGCACGGAAACGGCCTCAGTTCTAAAATGAAAATAAAAAGGTCATCAGTTTGACGGGTTTTGCGTGGACCGCACAAAAATGCCCAAACATTGGGAGCTGGTTTAGACAAACTAGTGACTGCCAATCCGCTATAAGGCGGCTGTAGGCCGTGAGTTACGGCGCCTTGGCGTCGGGCACCTTTACGACTGGAAGCCAAATAAGAGCAGAACAGTTCTTAGTCACTCCTGTCTATTAAAACCCAAGTCGGTTCCACCTGCAACCTCTCGCCTAGTCCAAATCCACAAATTTGCGATCTGCAAGACTAACAGTTTGATCTGGACGAATAATACTGTCTGGAAGTCATTTCCTAAAGTCTCCACGACAAGGCTTCCACCATGCACTGTGGAAGAAGTACCGACCAAGACATGAGAGACTGGGCGGCCACTTGTGGATGCCTTAACCGCCATCAGTAAGTCAGTCAGCCATACCCGGCACCTAGTTTACTTCACCGCAGGGTCCGATTGCGTCCATCGTAAGTCCTTGTGGTCGGTAATTGAATTACAGGGTACTCCGGCAAAAATGATTGTCACCAGCACAGGCAAATATCGTCCAATCACTTACAAGGGGAAGTAGAAGTTGAAGAAAAGCTATCCACTAGGGAGGGAAAAAGCACGTACTTTTGTGCACACCGTCGATATGCAGCTTAAGTAGGGTGCTCCGTGTAAACGTCTTGCCACAAAACTCGCAAGTATGATTTCGCAGAGCTGGAGGGGGGACTAGACCTAAATAGAGAAAGAAACAACCCGAAACTTATTCAGCCAAGCGACAGCTAGTAAAATAATAGCCCAGCTAACTAAAAAGCATCCAATCAGAAAAGGGCTCCGACGCTGACGCTGCTGGAAACAGCGGCGATAAGGCGGAGAGGTGAGCCGACGATGAGGAGCCCAGTTTTATCGCCGGTTCGCTTGATCCAGACTTCGTAATTTAACATAAATCCGACGCTTGACCAGCCTCTAATCCAAATAAACACAATAAACATCCTTCAGAGAGATCGAGACCAGATACTAGTCGTGGGGTGCCGACTGACGGAGTAACTTAATCCTCCTCCAAACCCAGTGGTGTCGCAATGGCTCACTCAAAATGCGGCCATTATGGTATCTCACAGTATCCTGATTGCCGGCATTCTCTCATCGAGAACCTTATCGCAGGAAGTCGGGACCAGCACGTATAAGGCGTGTGTAGATGAATCTTCGAACTCGCAAGTCGTCACACCCGCGCCCACTCCCAGCCGCTCTCACTTTTTCACTTTATAAGAAAGCTGTGGGGATGGGTGAAAACGGCGAGGCGAACGCTGCGTAAGTCGTCCAAACTACTAATCAATTCACTCGCAAGTCACCACTACGTCCTAAGGACAGTCATCAATTACGTTGGACCAACTAATGCAGGGCCGACCCCTGCGTATGGAGTGACGTGAGGATACGTAAATTCAAGAGATACGGGCCTTTATAAGGTTGATACTGAAAGGGGAGATACATTAGAAAGATGACAACCTATGGCGCATAGGCGTGGAGGACACTGTCTACGCCGAGGGTGAAGGGAATGGCGCCGGACCTCAGTCAATTACGTTTTCCAACAAGACTAGCTGATCATCGAAAATAAGCAGCAAAAGAAAACCGGTCAAGCGAAAGTCGCGACTGTATTTAAAGCAAAATCATGATAGAAGTGAGATTAAAAGTCCCCGAGTAAAAGAAACGCACCTTTGTGGATGGCGTCAATGTGCTTATTCAAATTTGACTTCCGTGTAAATGTTTTGTCGCAAATCTCACACGCAAACTCTCTCAGCTCTAAAACACAAATCAGAAAGTGAATAAATTCGTAAAAGACCGAAACTAATTCTTCGGGGAATGCAGTTAGGCGCGCGCATTAGATCATCAAAACAGCATCCTGACAAAAAACAGCTTTACCTACCTTGACCTAGGCGGCGAGTGAAGCAGGACTCCCGGCCTATAAAGTCTCTGCAGTTGCCCCACTTTAATTCAGACCATGCGGCAGCCGGACAAGAGAGAAAGGCGCCAGCGAGTACTACGACTTGCGACAGAGTCACACAGACAGGCCCAGTACTTTGCTCTAACTGACGCTGGATATCCCCGCCAAAAATGTACACGTTGGAGTGGTGGTTGGGGACAGCGTGAGTGGACAAAGGCCTCGCATTTGCTGCGTCGAGCACCCTTTCATACTGATCCATGCGAGGGCTCCGACCGCAGCAGGAGGACAACGGTGCCGTCGTACCGTCCTCGTCTGCTTGTCATGGTAGCAACGTGCTCACAGGATAGTCGGCAAATAGGACATCCACCTAACAGGCTGACGAAGCTGTTATTCCAATGAGGTTGAATTCCTTTTGCCTTATTGACGATGCTACGCATCTGGAGCGACTCTAGGATCTAGATGTGCAAACCTTCTTAGTGCCGCTTCACCCTCAGGGTCCCATAAAAGACGGCTTATGACTGCTGGACGGTCCACATTCGGTCGCCGTAGATCAGCGTAGTCAGCAATACGGTCTTTTACATCTTCAGCCTGCTGTTGACGAAGGTGTGATGGTGGTTCCGTACTGAAGCTCGGAGCCTGACGAGGATATAGTTAATCTTGGATGGTTAGATTGCAATACCACCGCAGACTTCGGCGATCCCAAAAACGGTGTTGTCCACGTAAGAGCACTTGTCTCCAGCAGCGTCGAGATGAGTTACGACCGTGGATTCAGCGGACCACTGCGGACGTCGATTTATTTATGACAACTGTTCTGTTGTTGTTGGTGGTGGTGCCATCCCAAACGGGCCACGCGGTTGATGCGCTGGACAAAAATGGGGGCCACGTTGGATTCCGGCGGGTGTTATCGGAAGGCGCAACATAACAGACGTCAAAATTCAAGGTGCGGTGGCAGGCCCAGTTGCCGGCGCAATTGGGATGCTAGCCGCCCCCCCCCCCCTGCTGTGGAGCAGCACGCCCAGGTGCGGGCCCAGCCGCGCCACCAGCGCTCTTCCTCAGCCTGTTTCACCTTGCTGTGGAGCACGCCATGGACGTCGTAGGGCACGACGGTCGAACTGCCGGTGGTGGTTGTGATGTTGGTGGTGGTGGTGGTTTTGGTGTTGGTGGTTGTGGTGTTGGTGGTGGTAGTGATGGTGGTGATTGTGGTGCCTGTGGTGAGGTTGATGGTGGTAGTTGTGGTGTCGGTGGTGGTAGTATTGGTGATTGTGGTATTGGTGGTGGTGGCGGCGGCAACTCGGCCTCACCCAGATCACCACAGTGAAGACACCTAGGACCCATGCGCTACTGACAAAGTGGTCCTGAATGAAATCTTGGAATGCCTCCGGTTTTGCGTGAACCTTTATTGACGTACAAACGGAGTGATTATCCCAAGGAGTTCACTTCGACTCACCGTGTCGACGGGCTCTGTGTAAAAAACGGATTTGGTGGAAGGGCCAACCTGTGGGTCTTGACGAGTGACGAAGAGCACGTCAAGGGTGCCAGTAGTTTCGGTTTTACATGTAAAGTCCAGTTATCGAAAAGACCGTCCTTGATGATTTTCAGCGCGATGTTGAATGCATAAAGTCTCCGAAGATGACTGAGGACTTGTTGACTTTCGGGATAACCGGGAATAGCGCTATTAAAGCCCCTGGAGGGGTGCGGTTAACTCCAAACCTTCTGAAGCAGATGAATCAGTAGGCCCTGTTTTAAGGCCTGTATATCTTCAAGAGAAGCATACCCGCAACCGATAATTCGTCACTCAAAAGTGAATCGGCTAAAGCATTAGACGATAATACAGTTGCAGGTCGACTTGTAACAGGCTGCTGAACCTTTGCTATCAAAGATGATCTGAAAGTGTTCAACAAAGTCGGTCGGGACACTGAATTTCGCTAACAGCAACATGTCGTAGGTGATGACAATTAGTTACGGCGGCTTTTGTGGTGGATTGTGGCAGCCGGGCGGTGAGTGTGTACTCATCAAGCCAAATCCCATGTTGGCCGAAATGGCCACTGGCAAAACTAGGGCTGGTGTTGACTGCGTCCAGCCATGGCTGAGAGTCCCTGACACAGTGGTGGCCCCTGTTGGAGTGCTGCTGTTGTTGTTGTCGGTCAAAAACCTGGTCATTCGCCGCGTGGACCCGGTGGTGTGGAGTGGAACGCCAAGGTGCGGGCTCGACTGTACGATCCGCCTGCGCCTCCCTCCCCCCACCTCCGGTCTTCTTGACTCTGTCTTGACACTGGGTCCAGATGGGGAATGGGAAAGAGTGTGGTAGACGCTGCACAAGTCTACTATCACTATAAACTAATTCACGCGCAAGTCACCGTCCCTGCTCTCACCTTGCAGTGGAGCACACGGTGGACATCGCCGAACTCGACCGTCGAGCTATCGGTGGCAGCCGCTTTAATAGGTTCGTGGGCCAATCTCAAGTGGTCTCCAATAGGTGTGTGCTGCATTTGCTGGGAGTTGGTGTCCCAGTGGCTTATGGTGTTGGCTGCAGGGGGGTGGCGCGTCTAAGTGGTTCATGGGCAGTTGCGACTCTGTGGGGACACAATTGTGTCCGTGCTAAAGTCGGTCGAGTGGCTTCAGGTCAGCACGTCTGGAACAGCTCGCAGTAAGGGCTGGATGACCTCGAGGCAGCGAGGTCTTTAACAATGACGCCAGACCTGTCATGATGGCTGGCCGCTACAGGATTTCAGCTGACCTCTTAGGACATCTAGTTTTACACCAGTTCAACCACTTCTCAGGTCGTCGTGATGGTGATCAAAAGAACTCAACGGCGGTTGTACAGATTGCGTCTCCCCTTGGACTCTACTTGATTCCCACATCATCCTCTTGACGGTGCAGTAGCTGAAGCGATTGCCCCGTCATGGAAAAACACTTGTCTGCGAAGGGTCTTCTCTGGGAGTGCTAAGGTACGTCCGTTTAGAGTCCTTCTTTCCCGAGGAGAACGGCGTGCTTGTGCCCGGAGATTCATTTTCGAAATTAATAGACATTGGTCAATCCAAAACTCGACGTGCTCATCAACAAGTCCGGGAGAACTCTTATCTCCGTAACACAGGAGTTGGTGAATTAAAACTGACGTTTGTTGTGAGGGATGTGAAAATCAATGCACCTTAAGCTGATAGAATCAAACCAAAAATGCCTTAGCGAACCATTTGGTGCAACAATACGCAGCGCAAATGTCGGGCTTTCAAAGATAAGCATGAATATGGCATTTCTGAATCAACTTAACAACAGCAAAAAAAGAGAAGCGTACTTTTGTGAATATGATCGACGTGACTCCTCAAGTGTCTTACTTCCGCGAAGTTTCTGCCACAAATCTCGCAGGAGAAGGGACGCAGAGCTAAAATAACAACAAAGCTTTTGATGACGCGTCTCTCGAGTGGCTCTAAATATGTGCAGGTGAAATAAAAGGTATGTCAGGTGGGAAATATATGTCCTTGTAGACATCAGGTGGTGATTTCGAGGCAGAACACTGCAACTGTTATGATCCGGCCTGGTACTTTGAAGTCACGTGGAGCGTATGCGCACCCGACTCTTGTCCCCAATACCAGCGCGACAGAGAAGGAGAACGCGACCGGCCACAAAAACGTGTATTAAGCATCCAGTGACTGGCTGACTCTTGTTTTTAGGAGTGTAGGCACTCCCAACAGCAACGTCCAATAGCCAAGTGGGGCATCTGAGTTGCCCTGTCAGCTGGTTAAGCGCAGAGGTGTATATACGTAATCTTAAATGCGTATTTCGCACGTTTCTGGGTCTATCGTGTAAGACCCCAATGAGATCACTTAGCTCTCTGTGTGTCGTCCTTCGTGTTTCGCCTCTGGTGGAGAAAACCCAGAAGACATGACTGGCACACGGCATGCGTTAACCTGCTGGCGAATAAACCGCGCAGGCACAAATGGACATGGGGGAGGGGAGTGGCGCGAGTAAATACAGGTCTCTACGCAAATGTGTCCAAGGGCATCACCAGCCGGTTGAGGGGCTGGGGCAGTCGCAGAGGCCGACACTGGGGAATCGATCCTCACGGCACTTCAGCGCATACTTCAGCTAAACTAGATTCAATCTATCACAACGCGTAGAGAGTCGTGGCTCGGAAGGCTGCCAACTAAGAGGATAACTCGATTCACTGAGGGACGGAAAATTCTGACTGCAATGGCTACTTAATGTAGTCCTTATGATACTCTCACGCGTGTGAAACACGAGCCCCCACTACAGAACGCTGGCACATGCAATGGGAACCGAGTCGTGTGTGACAAGCATTGGCACACTATCAACCACGGCCCCAGAAACCAGTCTTGACATTGCCTTGCAATCAGAGCCAAGTACCTGAAATTGGGATCACTCGGTGGGGCACATGGTGGACATCGAGGTCCGCGACAGCTGTCGCATCGGAAGATAGACAGTTCCATGTACCCTTTCGAATTACCAGGTAACGGATTGGGCAGGACGATGGGAGAGGCCCTGTAGCGCGCCTGATCCAGGCAACAGTTCAGACGCCAAATACAAGTGAAGTGCCAGGAGATGCAGACTTTCGTGGAGGAATCGCGATGGACTATGGAAAATCATGCCGTAATACGGCTGCCCTGAGCGATTCGCGTACATGGCGTGTCGTACGTTAACACAAAGTCGCGAGCACGCATGCGTGCGACACCCGTTAGATGGAGCCTTCGCCAATCACTCCAGCCGGTCTTATCGCCAACTGCTTTTATCTGGATTGCAGGGATGCCTTCTGGTTGCGGTGATTGCGCTCCAGACCCCCCGCGAAAAGTTAAAATCCGCAAATTGAAGACTACATACTTTTTTGGTAATTTTTACTCATTTGAAGCCCTTATAAACCCACGTTTCTCAAGCGGTTAGGAAGCATAAGCCCTCTATGTTCTAATACGTGACAAGGTAAGTTTAATTTGAAATATACACGCAAATGCACTATTTATATACTATGTAGAAGTATAGAAATCCAATATAATTGAGGTTTATTCAATATGTTTTAAACAAAGTAGATAAAGTAGATAGCGTTCGTGGCACAACGAAGGGCTTGACAGCGCAGGAAAAAATGAAAGATACGCACAAAAGTTAAAACGTTGCGCAGCATAGCAGGTTTTTGTTTAATGAGTGAGGGAAGATGCTGGCTAACGCAAAGCGGAAGTTAATAATGTTCTCCTTCGCCGAGCCAATCAGCGCCCAGGATACTTAACCGCATACTGTAGTGGAGTAGCTTCTTAGCCTTCGGTCAATCGTAGCCAGGGTAAGGTGCCAATTAGGCAAACTAGTTGAGGAAGCATGCGCCAGAAATAAAAACGCCCACTGTCCACATAGGTCAGCGAACCAACAAAAAATATGTGATAATTTTTAATTATGCTTGTATATAAAACCCGCGATTGAGTGAAGTCACGAATGGCGAAGCACGATATGGCGAGAGACTACTGTACTCTATTTAACGGATACCTACTATATAATTCTCCACTCCCCCACATAAATTACCAAACGCGGTTTAGGGAGCTCACGACCAGCTACTAGTCTTTGGGTGTCGACTGACGAAGTAAGTTAACTCCCCCGCCCCCCGAACCCAGTGATGCCGCAATGGCTCACTCAAAATGAGGTCATTAGGGCATCTGACAGTTGCATGATGGTCGAAATTCCCCCATCGAAGATTCTGTCGCACGGAGTAAGGGCCAGCACGTGTAGATGCGGCTTAGGACTCGCCAGTCTTCGCGTCCGCGTCCAGTCGCTCTCACTTGTCATCCCATTACAAAGCTGCTGGCGTGGGTGAAAACGGCGAGGCAAATGCTGCGCAAGCCGACCACACTAAAGATCAATTCACGCGCGATTCACCACTGCGCTTTTAGGATAGTCATAACTTACGTCCTACGAACTAATGTAGGACCGTCCCTGCGTAAGGGGTAGCGAGCGACATGCGTGAACTGAAGACAGACGCTGCCCCTTCTAAGGCTGGCACTGAATGGGGAGATACAGTAGGAAGAAGACAACCTACGGCGCATAAGCATGGAGGGTGAGAGGGCATCAGGCAGTTCAGTCGATTAAATTTCCAGAGGCAAAGTGATCATCGCAAATAAGCAGAAAAACAAGCCCGTCAGGCGGAAGCCGAAACGACATTCAAATCAAACTCGTTACATAAATGAACCTGCAGGTCCTCGGGGAGGAGAAGAAACGCACCTTTGTGGATAGTGTCAATGTGCTTATTCTTGCTTGCTTTCTGTGTAAAGGCTTTGCCGCAAATCTCACACGAAAACTCTCGCAGCTCTACAACATAAAATGACAAAAGACTGAAATAACTTCTCCTGGGATAACCTTGCATTTGACTAATGGAATTGGCGTCTACGTTAAGTCATCCAAACATCATCCTGACAAACAAAAACAGCTTTACCTAACTAGACTTCAACCACGGGTGTAGCGAAACTGCTGGCCCAAAAATCTCAACATCTATGCCATTACGATGCAAGCCGATCAGCAGCCGGACAGGAGTAAAAGGCATCGCCGCAAAATGCGATCTGCGACATAGGCACACTAACGCCCAGCACTTTGCTGCAAGCGACGCTGGATTTCACCGCCAGTTTGCGTTCACGACTTGAACGCAGCAGCAACTGTTTTACGCTGGACAGTTTTATTTGGGGGTTACTGTTGGGCAGAGCGGATGGTCAAGCTAGAATTCAGACAGGTGGTGCGGCCTACGGAGGAAAGTCAAAACAAATTGCGGGTCCGTTGGAGTGAAAGTCAGGAGCGGCGTGTGAGGCCTAGACTTCGCTGCGTCTAACGTCCTCTCGTGGTGACCCATGGTAGGCCGTAAATCGCAGCGGGAGTTCGATTACGGGCCTGCGACAGGGTGTTTCTCAAGTTGTCGTCTTCATACGGTAACTCTGAATGCGCTTTGCCAATGAAAGCATGCCAGAGGGGGTTGGACGTTGGTTGCGTAGCTCATGTCCTGATCACGCAATAGTCTAAACGGCGGACACTCGTCTGACGGCGTGGCTGCCCAGCCGAAGTTGACCTTGTTTCTATATAGTGACGACGACACCCATCCCAGTCGAATCCGGGGCTCAGGTGAGCCTACTTTCTTGGTGACTGCTTACCTTTAGAATCTTTCTTTTGATCGCATTCCTGCATTCTGAAAATCTGCCGTCAAAGTTGCTCCGACAGTCTTCAATAAGGGCGTGCAACATCACAGATTTCTGACAGCAGACCTGGGCATACGCGACAACAAACTGCCGCAAGAAAATCTTTCAGTTCTTTTAAATCCGCTAACACCTGGACTTTCTCCTGATGGTGGCTTTTTGTTCTGAGGGTTCAACTGACCCCTTGGGCAGTAGACATCGAATCCACAAGTCGGACCAGTCCCCAAATCGTCTCCACGGTGATCCAAGAGTCTCTACGGCGGTCGCATAGATTGCGTCTCACAGTAGGCTCTACTTGGCCTTAGCGCGCCGTCCTCTGGTAGGCGCGGCAGCTGAGGTCTGTTGTCCAGTCATGGAGGAAATACTTGTCTCGGTAAGGCCATCTCCAGAAAATCCACGTTCGGTACATTTGATGCTTCCTTGCCCGAAGACTCTTCATCCCTCATAACCTTTGTTATTAGCAACACCAGTAAATGTCGTCTCCCTACCCATAGGCGCGGGTGAATCCTGCTATTGGAAAATCAGACCAAAAATGCCTCATTGAGCGCAGAGCAAAACGTGTAAGGTCTTCAGAGACTAGCACAAAAGTGGCGATTCAGAATAAGCTGAACAACAGCAGAAACGTACTCTTGTGAATATGATTGATGTGATTCCTCAGGCGCCTCATCTCCGCGAAGTTCCTGCCACAAATCTCGCACGCAAAAGGACGAAGAGCTGAAATAACAATGAAAGCAGCACGGTAAATCAAGCAGCATAAAAACCATTTATTTGACGGGGTCGGTGACATGCCGCCTGAGTTGCTATAAATATGCACGGATGAACTAGAATGCAGGCCATGATCGTTTGGTCAGGATCCTGGCCTCCGGAGGACATATATTCCTGTAGGCAGTAGCTGGTGATATTTAGGGCCTTGAAGATTGCAACATGGAAGAATTAGGACGGACGAGTGACCTTCTCTTGTGGCGGATACACGGATGTCTGGTCCTATTTACACAATCTGCACGTTTCTGGGTATATCCCCTGTAAGCATACGGGGATGATTGCGCGGTGAATCAAGTGCTCGAACTTTGGCCTTGAGAACGGCCTGAGGTACATCCAACCGGCCGTTATGATAATTCAGAGAATAACAATTTGAAGGGTCTCAGAGGCTAGCACAGACAGTGCGTTTTTGGGTGCGTTAATTGTCAGCAACGGTAAATCACTAAAATAAATGGGGCGTACTTTTGTGGACTATGTCGATGTGTTTTTGCAGACCTCCTTTCAAGAAAAATGCCACGCCACAGGTCTCACACGCAAACGGCCGCAGTTCTAAAATGAAAACGAGAAAGTCTTCTGTTCAATGGCTTTTTGCGTGACCTGCCCCGAAAAATACAAACAACAGGTGTTTGACACAAATTAAATAGAAAAACTGTTAACTATTGGCGGAAAAGGTACGTACTTTTGTGGACACAGTCGACGTGCCGCTTCAGTAGGCCGCTTCGTTCGAAAGCCTTGCCACAAAACTCGCACGTATTTTCTAGCAGGTCTGTAAGGGAAATAAGACCCAACGTTTGGCTATGGCTGCGGAAGTAAAACTGGCAGGTTGACATCAAAGCATTCGATGAAATGAGGACTCCACTAGTGAAATATCTGAATCAAGTATTACGGACCATGCTACGGCGTCCACGATAACCGGTGCGCTCCGGAACCCTGGTCCAATGGTGATGGCGAATAGTGTGCAAGCAGGACTACTCAATCGGCGACGTACTATTGGTATTGGATGCTGAACTGTGCGATGTTCCCGGACCCTGGTACCCAAAGTCTGACGTCATGCGGTTATCAGTAAAGCGTAGATGTTTTCCACCTGTCCGAAGACTGTACCCCCGACTCGGGCGCTTCCGAGAGTTAACTCTCACATAACCCCGTACCAATGGGACCATGCAACCATGACCAATCGCAACAAGCGAACCGCGCATTACTTCCATGGGAACCAGTCAATAAGTTGGTGGCTAACATGCGAGTGAAGGTCACCTAACGAACACTTCCGTTGTCTTTGTGTACGCACCAATGTCAACTGCCGACCAGCGCGACAAAGAAACCTACTCACAACTGCATGAGTTTGTTGAAAGACTCTCGCCTTGATTTGCTGATTGTAGCAGGGGGCTGGAATGGCCGGACGGGACTCAACGACTTCTTAGACAGTTACATTATTGGCCACTTCCGGTTTGGCTTTCGATGAGACAATGGTGAGAGAATGCTAGACTCTGCTGATCAGAACCGACTATTTGTCCTCAACATGTACTACATCCGTTGTTTTGGCATCCAGATGACCACCAAGCGGTTAATCTGATCTAGTCGGTACAAGGTCCCACAGCAAAGTTTATGATGGCAGATCAATGCAAGATGCCAAAAATGGCAACTCCCATGCCTTGAATTATGTCTTCGTTCGCAAACGCTTTAAAGTTCATCTCTCATCCGCATCCCCAACTGATGCATGCAAGACGCCTTGATTTCGGAAAACTTGGACAACCTGGTACCGTCGAGGCCCTGAACACAGAAATCCGGTCTCGTTTTACGACCCGAATCGACGGGGAAGGCAGTGGCCAACGGTTATTACTAAGTCATCCGTCTATGGGACAGCAGATGAAACTCTTGGAAGCGATGGGCGGCATCCGGTGGCTGTATCATTAGAAGAACCGTACGGTTGTCTGCTCAGACAGCCCGAGCTAAGTCCCGCAAAGATGATTTCGCCCCCAACTACGAAAAATGGCAGTAAAGTCGGGTAGGCATCATCGGCAGAAATATTAGGCTGTAAAAGAGACCTCCACAAAGCAGGCCTCGAACATTGGTGACACTCGAAAACTACCAAGTTATCCAACAAGTTTGTGGTAAGCCCTCTGTACTGGGTGACTGAGTTTGCGATATGAATGTTGACCTTATTGCTGACAACTCGGCAAAGACCGATCGCTGACGTGAGCCTTTCGGGTACCTTTTCAAATTCGGCGAAAAACCCATCACGATCTCACTTTCCTCTGCAGCGGAGTTTTGTCACACTCAAGTCTACGCGCCTTTGTGTGACCTAGCTGTGAGGGAGAAATCGTCGATACAGTGCGGAGGCTGTACAACAACAAAAGTCCCGAAGTGAGCGGCCTTCGCCGACGTTGTCCTTCTTAAGTGTGTCCTTTATTCGCAGGAAAAATAACAAGAGCTAGAGGCAAGTAGGTAGATATGACATAAAAAATTAATGGTCCTCAAGCTGGTGCCATCAAACAAAAAGTATCCTTATCAGGTCTACCATCACCCCCTTTGTCAGGACAGAAGAAATATACTTCAACGACTGGTATAGACGCTGAAATTTCGAAGCAAGGACACAGTGCAGGCAGGACGGCCACAGAACAAGGCAGCATAAACTAGAGCTGCACGAAAGCTAACACATTACATGCCGAAATAGAAGTTGAGAAGAAACAGTCAGTCTGTGAAGGAAAAGGTACGTACTTTTGTGAACACAGTCGATATGACGCTTCAGTAGGCCGCTTCGTGTAAAAGAATCGCCACAAAATCCGCACGTATGAGTTTGCGGAGCCGAAACGGAAGCTGAGTCTGGAGATAAGATAAAAGAATCAATTTCCTCCGTTAAAACAAAATGTACGAAAATAAGACTGACAAGATGACGTCACGGCATCCAATAAGAAGAGGAGTCCGCCGCTGAGGCGGTCGGCGCCGCAGCTACAGCGACAGAAAGACACTCTGCCCATTTAAATAAAGTGTGGAGCAAACTCCTTAGCAATCAAAGAGGGGGTAATGGCGACAGAAGGATATAGATTGAGAAGAGGCCATGAAAGGTCTTCTTTGCAAAGAAATGGCAGAAGTCAGAGCAGAAGAGGTAAACCGTGGACGATAAGCTCCACCACGAGTGTCCTCTGCAAAATCAAATCGCAGATCCCCGCTAGTGGACAATCAATGGGCAACTTCAGCTGGCAGTCAACCGCCAAGGTCTGAAAATGCCAAGATTTTCAAAGACTACCATAGGATCCGCCCGTCAGAAAGGAAATCAGTACTTTGTGCACTTGAGCGCCTACACACGCACACCTGGAGCGACAAGTTTATGGGTATAAGGAAACTTGAAGTGAAAAAGCGTGCATTAGTCTGGTAAAGTGAGTGACCGATCTCATGAAAGGTTGGTCGAAATCCTGAAATGCGTTTTCGATTAGGATGGATTACTTAGGTGGGGTTGTAATACTGCTTATCATGCGGCATAATCCTATAATATTCCGGGCTTGGCAGGATGTCGGCTTTTATATACACTTCTTTCTAACCTCATGTAGAAATCGTGCTCGGTAAGAAATGGCTACTTCAGCAGCATGCATTTTCACATTGATTTTCGATGGTCTTATGAATTCAAATATCCTTTATAAGAAACATGGACTAAAATATACCCTCTTTTACTCGTTTGATAGAGAAGCACATCATCTCTACAGCTAATACCCGAGGAAGGAGTATAATAAGGTTTTAAAAAAGGTTTCTAATTGTGAGATTTATGAAGACCGTGTCAAAAAATACAGTACAGACACTGAGTGATCACTCACACGGACGGCGACCGCCTTCAAAATCTTCAGTGCGCTTCTCGCAAGGCGGGTCTTCTGTCTCAGGCTTGGGGTATTGGAGCTCAGTCAGAGGGTTACACCGCAAAACGACGACGGAGAAACCTGGGGTGTTTGCTTCCATGACCGCTCCCGCATGAAATGCGTTGGTGGAGGCAGACACGCCGTTTGCTGCATTTAACTCGTCTGTTTGTACGCCTGAAGCAGCTGAGGGCGAAGGGCTTCCAGTCTTGATTTCGTTCGGCAATCCCTGCGATGCTGGAGATAGCGATGGTTGCCATTCGTCACCACTGCTTGCACAGTCACTTGCGCTGGATCCAAGTTCGCGTTGGGGAAGGGGTCGACGGCATTGACGCTATCGATAAAACCAATCTAGGTTAGGCCAACAAGACCTTACAATTCAATTTGGCCGGGCAGACTCGTTTATCTAAATACGATGGAGTATTTAAAATGTATCTATATTAATAAAAACACATTCCACAGACTGCTAGCATTACCTTACGTCGTTGCAATTCGCGTGTCTCTTTGGAAGTTACTTCTTCCTGTGAAAAGGAAAATGTGCAACAAATTATAATAATGGAATGTATGTCTAAATTTATTCAGCACGGCTGATAAACAAGCTTTTAGTAAGGACAGCTCCAAAACAACGAAACGGCAGTGGCATAACAACTATAGGCTTGCCTGTTTGAATCCAGTAAGTAACAGTGAAGGAACTGTGCTCGACATTCTCTGAGGACAACCATGGAAAACCAGTAGATTGGCAACTTCCGTTTTGTTCTCACCGCCCGAAGGCCAGACGAGAAAAACACAGGGTCACACTAATACTTGTTTACATGCACGTCAATGGCTGCAGTGTTTTCAGAAGGCTTTTTATGACTTTTCGAAGCTTGAGATTGCTGAGAGAAATACGTGCTGTCTTTAAGCCGAAACCGAAGAAGTGTGTTCAGTCCAGTGTGTTTGGACGAAATGAGCATAGGAAAACATGATCACACTAGCTATTGCAGTTAGTGGGAATATGTCCAAAATTTTCCGACGAACAGACATCTTTCTGAACAAATGACGCTTACAATTTTACCAGGCCGCTTGATCTTAACAGTAAAGAAGGACTAACCTTAGACAAGGGATCGGCCTCAATGGCAGAGAACAATGAACCAGTTATAAAACTGCGTCAAACGCATCTCGTTCCCGTGCCACGTCACTTAAGTCTGACCTAGTGGTACGCTCCAATAAGTCGGATAATAGTTATGAGAGATCTTTGTCAGAATACTCAAAACAAAGAAGGCTATTCTGTTGGGAAGCCCGTTAAAAGAGCAACGCATAAAGTTTCCCAACCCGGCAGGTTGACAGTCGCCTCCGTCTACCTTACTGCCGACTCTTGTTATGATTCCGTTACTGCCTCTGGGATATTGAGCTCTCAACCCTAATGTCAATCCCACCCTAGGTCTGCCACAACCTAACAACCCCATGCACATATCGCACCCCTATGGAGAATTTGCTTCATTCGTCCATGTCCCTTCGGGAACGACGATTTTTGCGGGTATTTGCGGCACCCCTATTCTTGTCCTCAGCGATCTGTTGACGAGCATGGCAAATTCCTCTGTCTTTGCCATCTGCTAGTAGTTTGGTCAGCCAACATAGAAGTATTACCGTATCATCTCTCCACGCTTTGGTAATCCCCGCAGCCTTTAATTTCCCCTCATCGTCCCAAACCTAAGCGAACTGTGGCCGGTGGCTTTGGGGCACTCCTGTCTCGCCACCTTGATGGTCTTATCTGCTATCACCCCGAAATTATTACGATATGAACTGCCGCGAAGAGCCGCGCCCAGTTTAGAGATGTAAACTTAATGAGGATCGCTTTGAGTTCTTATGCACTATCATCTGCCGGACGGTCCTATGCAAACCGCATATTTACTTTGCCATGAGCGCCAGGTTTTTCTCCTTTAAATTTTCTAAACCAAATTCGATTTGTTTTTTTCAAAAAATGCAGGAGTTTTTACACCGTTCTATAACCATTTATCATACTAGAACACTGTACAGTTTTTGCATGCTCGTCTTAAAATTCATTTGAAAATGCATTCGTTTAACTCACCGTGAAATAATAAGTATGGTAACTAGATAAAACAATTTATTTGTTAGTTTATTTAGATTGCCAAGATAATCGTTGGCAGTATAATTCCAGGCATTCTTACTGAACTTTAAAGTTAGCCATGCACCCAAGCATCTGTTGGCAACATACGGTCTGGACAGTTTAAAAGTGAACATTTGTTGATATTTCGGCAAATGGCCTTAAGTAATAAATAAGAATTCGTGCTTACTGATATGAGACGAGTAATTTTAACTGCTCAAAGCGTCTACTTAGGCGGACATAACGACATAAACGGGCAGCGCACTCCGTGCTCATCAACTCAGTACTGAAGTAATGAACTGACGGTTTCGTTGTGGATGCCGAACATCCACAGTGTGCAATGTTTATATCAGGTCACCTAATGGCTGACTGAAACTCGATGGCAAAGATTATGATTGAGCAATCTTGTTAATTAATTAGGTCGCCCAGCCCATTGGATAGTTTATGTCATGCCTTTAAAATCTTTACGGAGATACTGGGATCCTGAGCGCGCATAAATTCCGAAGACATTAGCGAAACCCTCTTCATTAATCATTGCGAAACCAGTCTTGACAAGATACAGAAATGGGATTGCTAACTTGATAAGCTTCTTGTAGTGTAAGGATTTTTGAAGTGTAGTCGTGAGTGAAACACCCAAGTCCTCTTTTGCATCCTCTTCTTGTAACGTGCAATTCAACCAACGAGCACTACAATTTAAAAATCCGGTCGAGCCGGCTGGCAGAATCGTACACTTCTTCACATTGATTGGCAATGGTCAGCGATTCGGTCATCCTTCCACTCGATTTATGCATGCCTGCAAATGTTATCTGTCACCTTAATTTTGAATTGCGCCCCAAAACTTGACATCATTGGCAAACATGGTGGCATCGCAGCCTAAGCCCAATGGCACAGACTTCGACACGATATTGAACAGAGTAGGACCACGAACGGAACTGCTGTGAACATCGCTCTTGACCGGCAAATCCGCCGGCCACTGGTTGCAGAGTCGGCCAAGATGCCTTAAATCCACTTCAGGAGATTGCCATAGACGCCACTTGACGAGTAATGAGCCCTCACTTTAATAAACTGCATTCGTCTAGCGCCCCCCTTTACATCTGGCGATTTCAGAGCCGTCCATTCGTAGCATTCACGGGAAGCCAAACACAGGCGGCAAAACAGTGGCTTTAATAATGTTCTTTATTTGTAAAAAATATAAGGACAGAGAAGAGCCTATACATAATCTCAGATGCAGTATAAACTGACACCGAAAGAAATGCAAGTCGAAAGAGCGTGAGGGCGAAGTGACCATCGCAGAGCCGCGGCAAGTGTCATTCTTCCGAAGACTCTAAAAAGGCGATCAAAAGGCAAAACACAGCGGTGAAAAGGCAATTTTACGCTTTATGGTGCTGCATAACATCACCGCAGCACCTCACCACAAACCTATTCCGTGTTTATGGCTGGCTTGCCCAATATAACGGGATACCCAATTATGGAAAACTTGGCAAGAGTCGAGTGCGGGACGACAGAATAAGAATCAATTCAGTACAATCGGTGCTCTAACCCCTATGCAATAGAATTTGTGTATCGCGTGCAATACAGCAGGCTGGCTGAGCACAACTTAGTCCAAATGTGAAAAGCATGAGGTTCTCGGTCGGGACCTCATAATTCAGGTGGCCAAGGGGTTGTATGCACGCAGGCCTTGGAATCTCTGTCACGGGATCGGATTGCGTCAGGATCACTAAGCTTTTCACAATTAGGTCAGTTCAAATAAAATTAATGAAAAAATATTTGAATCAAAGCGTCAGCTTGGTATGGATGCCCTAAATGCCCTCGCAAGCTGTTGACCAGGTTGAAGGTAAAGCATACGTCAATACCAGTCTTGTACTTCCATCAAAAATCGCGCAAATAGCTACGCCCGTCGCGACTGCGCTTATGACATCCGGCTATACTATAGGACTACGAAGACAGAAATATTTACTCAGTCAGCCGTTGCGAGGCGAAATGACCTTCGTGAGACAGTCGCGGAGGTGAAGTCGTAGTCAACCCCGAAAACCTGACTGCAACACTTGGTCTGGCCGCTGCTGTTGTCCTGTCGGTAAACGGTGTTTTTTTGCTATACGCATGCTTCTGAAGTAGTTTCATTAGCTTGTTTACTGCAGATGACATGAAAACAATGCGTTTCAAAGGCGCCACCAGATCGCCCCTAAAAATGTCCAGGGTGGGACAATCGACATAAAATTACTAACAAATCTGGGGTGTTTTGCCGACATCTGCCTTGAATCAGAATAAAAATGGACTCAGAGATGGCAGTTTCTTGAAGCATCTGAAAGAGAAGCCAAACTGTTTTTCGGGAAAACCTGGGTTCTGCGAAGACATCAGAAAAGTATTTCGTTTTTCCCGTCAACAGAGTTTCGCCTGGACTTTCTTATAACCAATAGTGGACTAATTTGGGTCCTGACTCCATAAAAGCTGTGACTTCGAACCTGTTCTTATCATGCCCAATTGCATTTCCTCTGCCGTTCTGGGCTATCCTCAGCGCGCCGTTTGTTTGCACTACAAATTGGGGCTTATCAACTATCAACTGCAGATGCAAACGCAGCAATTGGTGCGACGAGTAGGACAACGCATGGAAAAAACATCGGCCTGACGAGATTGCCACTTTTTGTCAAATGGCACTATTTACATTCTAACGGGCGCCCTAAGGGTGCAACTGCAGACAATGCTTCTGAACAATAACGACAGAAATCCTGACAGCGTCCCGCATGCATAGATCTAATGGAAAATACGATGAGAAAATGACGATAAAACTGGAGACGAACTAGCCCCACTTTTCTAAAGCGGCACTACTGACAAGTGTGCGCCTAAGGAGTGTACTGCTTCCCGGCTGGTCGCAGAAAACGTTCATGAAGACCTACAGATAGTGTTTCTGCATACCCAATACAGAAAAGTTTGGTGTAACGCGGACGATGCCCCCGTTATCAACAACAGAGGGCGGTAGCAGAACTCTCATGAGTAGAATTTGTGGAGGAGGCAGCAGCTGTGACAGCTTCAGCGGCTGGGGGTCACTATGGAAAATGTATTCACAAGACATGACCGGCCAAATGAGGCTACGGAATGCGGAGCTGTTGCGCATGGGGGCTGACTCGGGATCTGGGTGTTCCAGACACCCTGTCTGGCACTTAACCTTCGGTATCCCCCAAAGCTGAGGAGGATGGAAGTAGATGAGATTCGTCGTATGATTCTTCCGGAATGAGAAGGGATGACCGGACAAAGTCTTATAGATAATGGTCTACGCTGAAGTGTGGGAAAACAGTCTGAGTGATTACAGGGCATGAACTGCCCTCTTGAACTGTTCCTGAATGTTCGAGAAACCACGTTCCACACTACATATATCTCGGGGTGGTTTCGTCAAATAAATTTTCCACATGCCAGACAAAGACACCTCTCGAAATGAATGCCTATCAGCTTGAAGAAGTAGTCGATCCCAAATGCCTCTGGGCAAGACTGTCACCGATCGCACTGACTTAGGACAACATCCATGCTGATCTTCGGCTTTCCCAAAGCCCTAGAAAGTGTATATGGACCCGACGCGACCCCCATCGCCACGAATATTCGCGTGCAC